AAAACAAATACATTTTCATCTAACAGAATCATCTCTACGTTGTTGTCAATTTTTTTTTGCTGAAAATTAGGAACCTTCCATGTTCTAACAACTCTAGCCTTAATCCTCCACTCCTCCTTAGTAGGATTAAGATCCTTAATAAAATCATACTTGGAATACATAACCAAACGTATATGAAGTAATATTGGCTCTAAGCCTTTGAGGAAAAAGAAAGGAACGAAATAGAGACGCTACAAATGTGCCCAAAGAAGCTGATCAGCAAACGAACATATGTTGTTCCAAATACCTATTTATACACGAATATGCACTATTCGATTTAAAAATGGTCATTTAATTATTCGATTTAAAAAATAAAATTTGATTTTTAAAAGAAATTCTTTTCCCACCATCCATATTTAAATTCAAAAATTTAAATCATTTCAAATTTCGAATTTTAGATCAGATGACCAATTCCAACATAAAAAGCAATTAAAATAGTTGATTTCTTTTTGGATATCAATGTGATGGGCAGTGAGACATTCAATGCCTTGTCTGCCACCACAAACGGTCATTTAATTATTCGATTTTAAAAGAAATTTTTTTTCCCACCATCCATATTTAAATTCAAAATTTTGAACCATTTCAAATTTTGAATTTTAGATCAGATGACCAATTCCAACTAGAAAAGCAATTAAAACAGCTAATTTTTTTTTAGATACCAATGTGATGGGTAGTAGGACATTCAATGCCTTGTCTGCCACCACAAATGGTCATTTAATTATTCGATTTTTAAAAGTAATTCTTTTCCCACCATCCATATTTAAATTCAAAATTTTAAACAATTTCAAATTTCGAATTTTAGATCAGATGACCAATTCCAACATAAAAAGCAATTAAAACAACTAATTTCTTTTTGGATACCGATGTGATGGACAGTGGGACATTCAATGCCTTGTCTACTACCACAAAAGGTCATTTAATTATTCGATTTAAAAATTAAAATTCGATTTTTAAAAGAATTTTTTTTCCCACCATCCATATTTAAATTCAAAATTTTAAACCATTTCGAATTTCGAATTTTAGATCAGATGACCAATTCCAACATAAAAAGCAATTAAAACAGCTGATTTCTTTTTGGATACCAATGTGATGGGCAGTGGGACATTCAATGCCTTGTTTGTCACCACAAATGGTCATTTAATTATTCGATTTAAAAATTAAAATTCGATTTTTAAAAGAATTTTTTTTTCCACCATCCATATTTAAATTCAAAATTTTGAACCATTTCAAATTTTGAATTTTAGATCAGATGACCAATTCCAACATAAAAAGCAATTAAAACAGCTAATTTTTTTTAGATACCAATGTGATGGGTAGTGGGACATTCAATGCCTTGTCTGCCACCACAAATGGTCATTTAATTATTCGATTTAAAAATTAAAATTCGATTTTTAAAAGTAATTCTTTTCCCACCATCCATATTTAAATTCAAAATTTTAAACAATTTCAAATTTCGAATTTTAGATCAGATGACCAATTCCAACTTAAAAAGCAATTAAAACAGTTGATTTCTTTTTGGATATCAATGTGATGGGCAGTGAGACATTCAATGCCTTGTCTGCCACCACAAACGGTCATTTAATTATTCGATTTAAAAATTAAAATTCGATTTTAAAAGAAATTTTTTTTCCCACCATCCATATTTAAATTCAAAATTTTGAACCATTTCAAATTTTGAATTTTAGATCAGATGACCAATTCCAACATAAAAAGCAATTAAAACAGCTAATTTTTTTTAGATACCAATGTGATGGGTAGTAGGACATTCAATGCCTTGTCTGCCACCACAAATGGTCATTTAATTATTCGATTTAAAAATTAAAATTCGATTTTTAAAAGTAATTCTTTTCCCACCATCCATATTTAAATTCAAAATTTTAAACAATTTCAAATTTCGAATTTCAGATCAGATGACCAATTCCAACATAAAAAGCAATTAAAACAGCTGATTTCTTTTTGGATACCGATGTGATGGACAGTGGGACATTCAATGCCTTGTCTACTACCACAAATGGTCATTTAATTATTCGATTTAAATATTAAAATTCGATTTTTAAAAGAATTTTTTTTCCCACCATCCATATTTAAATTCAAAATTTTAAACCATTTCAAATTTCGAATTTTAGATCGGATGACCAATTCCAACATAAAAAGTAATTAAAACAGCTGATTTCTTTTTGGATACCAATGTGATGGGCAGTGGGACATTCAATGCTTTGTCTGTCACCACAAATGGTCATTTAATTATTCGATTTAAAAATTAAAATTCGATTTTTAAAAGTAATTCTTTTCCCACCATCCATATTTAAATTCAAAATTTTAAACAATTTTAAATTTCGAATTTTAGATCAGATGACCAATTCCAACATAAAAAGCAATTAAAACAGTTGATTTCTTTTTGGATATCAATGTGATGGGCAGTGAGACATTCAATGCCTTGTCTGCCACCACAAACGGTCATTTAATTATTCGATTTAAAAATTAAAATTCGATTTTAAAAGAAATTTTTTTTCCCACCATCCATATTTGAATTCAAAATTTTGAACCATTTCAAATTTTGAATTTTAGATCAGATGACCAATTCCAACATAAAAAGCAATTAAAACAGCTAATTTTTTTTAGATACCAATGTGATGGGTAGTAGGACATTCAATGCCTTGTCTGCCACCACAAATGGTCATTTAATTATTCGATTTAAAAATTAAAATTCGATTTTTAAAAGTAATTCTTTTCCCACCATCCATATTTAAATTCAAAATTTTAAACAATTTCAAATTTCGAATTTTAGATCAGATGACCAATTCCAACATAAAAAGCAATTAAAACTTTCTTTTTGGATACCGATGTGATGGACAGTGGGACATTCAATGCCTTGTCTACTACCACAAATGGTCATTTAATTATTCGATTTAAAAATTAAAATTCGATTTTTAAAAGAATTTTTTTTTCCCACCATCTATATTTAAATTCAAAATTTTAAACCATTTCAAATTTCGAATTTTAGATCAGAAGACCAATTCCAACATAAAAAGCAATTAAAACAGCTGATTTCTTTTTGGATACCAATGTGATGGGCAGTGGGACATTCAATGCCTTGTCTGTCACCACAAATGGTCATTTAATTATTCGAGTTAAAAATTAAAATTCGATTTTTAAACGATTTTTTTTTTCCCACCATCCATATTTAAATTCAAAATTTTGAACCATTTCAAATTTTGAATTTTAGATCAGATGACCAATTCCAACATAAAAAGCAATAAAAACAGCTAATTTTTTTTAGATACCAATGTGATGGGTAGTGGGACATTCAATGCCTTGTCTGCCACCACAAATGGTCATTTAATTATTCGATTTAAAAATTAAAATTCGATTTTTAAAAGTAATTCTTTTCCCACCATCCATATTTAAATTCAAAATTTTAAACAATTTCAAATTTCGATATTTAGATCAGATGACCAATTCCAACATAAAAAGCAATTAAAACAGCTGATTTCTTTTTGGATACCAATGTGATGGACAGTGGGACATTCAATGCCTTGTCTACTACCACAAATGGTCATTTAATTATTCGATTTAAAAATTAAAATTCGATTTTTAAAAGAATTTTTTTTTCCCACCATCCATATTTAAATTCAAAATTTTAAACCATTTCAAATTTCGAATTTTAGATCAGATGACCAATTCCAACATAAAAAGCAATTAAAACAACTGATTTCTTTTTGGATACCAATGTGATGGGCAGTGGGACATTCAATGCCTTGTCTGTCACCACAAATGGTCATTTAATTATTCGATTTAAAAATTAAAATTCGATTTTTAAAAGAATTTTTTTTCCCACCATCCATATTTAAATTCAAAATTTTAAACCATTTCAAATTTCGAATTTTAGATCAGATTACCAATTCCAACATAAAAAGCAATTAAAACAGCTGATTTCTTTTTGGATACCAATGTGATGGGCACATTCAATGCCTTGTCTGCCACCACAAATTGTCATTTAATTATTTGATTTAAAAATTAAAATTTGATTTTTAAAAGTAATTCTTTTCCCACCATCCATATTTAAATTCAAAATTTTAAACCATTTCAAATTTCGAATTTTAGATCAGATGACCAATTCCAACATAAAAAGCAATTAAAACAGCTGATTTTTTTTTGGATACCAATGTGATGGGCAGTGAGACATTCAATGCCTTGTCTCCTACCACAAATGGTCATTTAATTATTCGATTTAAAATTTAAAATTCGATTTTTAAAAGAATTTTTTTTTCCAATTTACTCAATAAAGAAAGTTTGTATATGTCATGTAGTGTGAATACAATTTGTAGAATTGACCAGGGAGTGACACTTGGCAAAACTTTCCAACATTGAACTCTCCTTTATATATATATATATATATGATAGCCATATATTTTCTCCCCTAATTACATAGATTTAAAATGCATATTCCTAAAACACTGATAGGCCATGGTAGTTAAAATCGGAAAGAAGATAAAAAATCGTAAAACATAAAATCTTAACATAAAAAAAAATTGTAAAAACATAAAAACGTTTGAAATTTTGATGAAATCGTTTTGATTAAATTTTTTTATAAAATCATAAAATCGCATATTTAAATTAAGATTTTAACTATAGTTAGGTGTCGAAGATACACCATATATAATAAATAAATTTTGAATCAATTTTTTTTAGTACAGAAAATCAATTTTGAATCAATTTTTTTATGGAAGGTCAATTATAGAAATATGAATGCCAAAATATGTGCATGCACATCACCTTAAATTAATAATTTTATTTTGAAAAATCGAATAACTATGATAAGGCATTGGAGAAGGATAAGCTAATAGTAATAATGGGTACATGAAAATTAGAAATAAGTCCAGCCCAAAATTACCATTTATTATTATTTTATTTAATTTTATTAGTGTGGAGAGAAGCATAAAGCCTCCAAGCTCTCATGCCTCAGCCTCAGAATAAATAAAAAATAAAGGAGGAAAACAAAAAACAAAAAGGGTGTGGATTTTCTCTCTGACTCTGATTCTCCGAATTTAAGATCGATCGTACCTTTGATTTATTGGAAAAATTGCTCCAGTCGGGTACGTATCGATCGTCTAATACTGAATACAACTTTCGTATCCCACATGTATTGGGGATCTTTTGCGTATCAGTGGCTCCGTTTGCTACCATAATATAATAACATTTTTGTTTTATCACTTTTGTGATCTGTGGATGTGTTTGGAGTATTGATATGTATTGCAATTCGTTTGGGTGTTTTCAATTTTTATTTTTTATCAATGGGGTTTGCTCCTTGCGCTGAGATTACTGAATATATGTTTCTCTGTAGTTGATTCATTCATTGCTTTTCCTCATTTATCTGGACCTGTCAAGAAGTTTAGCATCGTAAGTTCCAATATTGAAATTCCGAGGTGATTGATTTTCAGTTCTTAAATGCATGCAAAATTAGCAATGCGATATATCCAGTGTTATTATTATAAATTTTATTCAGCTAGGTGAGCAATGTTGTAAAATTTCTCCTGAATTTTCCTCATCAAGTTTATTTTTTATATTATTTTTTAATTCATGGAACTTGATTTTGGAATAAGTAAATCATGGATGTTGAGATATATAGTCCCACATTGATTGTATGTGCAACTAATGTGGAGTTTATAAGGCCTTGGGCACTCCCACCCTTAGAGCTAGCTTTTGGGGTGGTGTATCCCAAGGTTCTTTACATGGTATCAGAGCTTCGCCGCCCCCCACTTCCTCTTGTGGCGTTTCTTAGCACAGGTAGGCTGGGCCTGTTGCATTGTCCACTCTTCAAGCCTAAGGGCTCTTGTGTGAGGAGGCGTGTTGAGATATATAGTCCCACATTAATTGTATGTGCAACTAATGTGGAGTTTATAAGGCCTTGGGCACTCCCACCCTTAGAGCTAGCTTTTGGGGTGGTGTATCCCAAGGTTCTTTACAATGCTTGTGAATAGATGCGGTATAAAACTTAACAATTGTGTTCATAGTTTTATCTTTTTCCTCTTTCTTGCTTTTTTGGTTTGCTCCTAAAATGGTTTCATTGGTTGGCAGTGGTAGCAGGGAAATGTCTCCTTCTGTTTCAGTCCAGGAAAAAGGAAGTAGGAACAAGAGAAAATTCAGGGCTGATCCACCTTTAGGGGAGCGAAATAAGATTATTCCTGCACCTCAACACAAGTGTCTCAGTTATGAATTCTCTGCTCAGAAGTTTGAAATAACCCCAGGTCATGGGCAAGCAGCAGCTGCATGTGACCTGTGTAGTGTTAGCCAAGATCATCATGAGGGATTGAAGCTTGACCTTGGATTGTATAGTTCTGGAAGTTCGTCTGAGGTCGGGCCTAGTCAACCTAAGGAAGAACTCGAGGCAGATGAATTCAACGATGCTGATTGGAATGATCTCACAGAAGCCCAGTTGGAAGAACTTGTCCTGAGTAATCTGGACACCATTTTCAAGAGTGCAATTAAAAAAATTGTTGCATGTGGCTACAGTGAAGAAATTGCTACTAAGGCCATCTTAAGATCCGGAATCTGTTATGGATGTAAAGATACTGTGTCTAATATAGTTGATAATACTTTAGCATTTCTTAGAAACGGCCAAGAGATTGATCCTTCACGAGAGCACTGTTTTGAAGATTTAGTGCAGCTTGAGAAGTATATCTTGGCTGAATTGATTTGTGTTCTTCGTGAGATTAGGCCATTCTTCAGTACTGGGGATGCTATGTGGTGTTTGTTAATTTGCGACATGAATGTGTCACATGCTTGTGCAATGGAAGGTGACCCTTTAAGTAGTTTAGGTAGTGATGGCACTGCTGATGGCTGTACATCTAGCCAAACAGAATCACAACCAAAAGCAGCAACCAAAGTCCCTGAGTTGAGTCTTCCAAGTCCTTGTAAATCAATTCCTGTGGGTTCTCATAATTCTCATTCAAAGAAATCCTATGTGGCAGGAATTCCTGGTAGGAACAACTTAAAGAATTCCCAAATGATTGGTGGACTCTTGGCGAATGAGGGATCCAGTTGTGGATCTAATTGTGTTGATAAAGCATTTAGTTCTGCTGGAACATCTCAGGAAGAAAAGTGTGGAAATGTTAGGAAGGTCCATTTTGGTAGCACCAAGAGGGACTACTTTCTTCGGCAGAAGTCATTTCATGTAGAAAAAAGTTATCGGACTTATGGATCTAAAGGGTCTTCTAGAGGAGGGAAGTTGAGTGGCTTGAGTGGTCTAATCTTGGATAAAAAACTTAAATCTGTCTCAGAATCTTCTACCATAAACTTAAAGAGTGCATCCTTACAAATAAGTAAGGCAATGGGAGTTGATGTGACTCGAGACAATCTTAATGCTAATTTCTCATCTAATACTGGATCATGTATCCCCTCTGCATTTAGTCTGGATTCTCCTGATGCCGTTACTAGATCAACCAATACTTCATATGCAGTACATGCTACAAATACTATACCTGCGTTCAGTAGCCGAACATCCTTATCAGCTACGGATACTGATCTTTCCCTTTCATTGTCTTCAAAAATCAAGCCTTCTACAGAAACTGTATGCTGCAATAATGAGGCACCTAATAGTAGTTATATGAGAATACCATATGACAAGTCCCTGGGGCAGTGGCTACCCCAGGATAAAAAGGATGAGATGATTTTGAAGCTGGTTCCAAGGGTTCGGGATTTGCAAAATCAGCTTCAAGAATGGACAGAGTGGGCCAATCAGAAGGTTATGCAGGCTGCCCGTCGGCTGAGTAAGGACAAGGCTGAGCTTCAGACACTGAGGCAAGACAAAGAGGAAGTTGAATCTCTTAAGAAAGAGAAGCAATCTCTGGACGAAAATACCATGAAGAAGCTTTCTGAGATGGAAAATGCCTTGTGTAAAGCTAGTGGGCAGGTAGAGCGAGCTAATGCCGCTGTCCAAAAGCTAGAGGTGGAGAAGGCTGCCCTGAGGAGAGAGATGGAAGCTGCTAAGCTACGTGCCACAGAAACTGCCGCAAGCTGTCAAGAGGTCTCAAGGAGGGAAAAGAAGACCCAAATGAAGTTTCAGTCATGGGAAAAACAGAAGTCCTTGTTTCTGGAAGAGCTAATTATTGAAAAACGAAAATTGGCGCAGCTGTTGCAGGAATTAGAGAAAGCTAGAATGCTACAGGAGCAAGCTGAGGTATGCTATTTTAAGCTTATTCCAACTTATTTCTCATGTTTCTTTATATCTTTTAAACATCCACGTGATATCTAGACTATTATGATATGGATCAGGCTGTAGTTTGGTCTCATGGTGTAATCTTAAAAAGTAGAAAAGGAAGTTGTGATTAGAGAGTTGTTATCTTAAGTTTCAAAACTCCTCCACTCTCATTTTATTACAACAGCAACAACAACCAAACCCTTTTTTCATTGAGTGGAGTTGGCTTCACGGATCAAATGACAGCCATTGTGTTTCTCAAAAAACCAATTCTTCAGAGAGGCCGTTTAGATCTAAATCCTTTTTAATGGTTTCACTTAGAGAACTTTTTGGTCTTCCTTTGCCTAAAATTATTGGACTAACCACCATTTCTAACAGGGGCATTTATTGTCTCCACTCTCATTTTATTCTGAATAAAAATAAGTGGATTGGCATGCCTGAAGCTAGTATTTGTTATCCATTTCTATGCATGGCTTGATCATTATCATCGAATCCATGTAGAATGAGTGGGTAGTGCCCGTATGTTAAATGATATGGTCTCAAACTAAGTTTCCCCTCGCCACAGCGTTAGCTATCAAGGTAATAATAGTATCAACTCCTCACCTTTTCAAAAATCAAGGACTACCCCCCAAAGTATTAGTATTCATTTGATGATCTATGTTAGCTGAGAAACAGACACACAGTTTAAATAACTAGTGTACCTTTTTTTTTCACCTGCACCTTGTTTGTTTTGTTTTTCTTTGAAGGTTCTATCCATCTTTTAGTTGCAGCTCTCGTCCTTAAGCTTTTTACGTCACAAGAACAAAAATATGTATATAGTTGTAGGGAAGTGAAACATGATAAAACAGTTTGGTACTCAATAGTCAATACACTTGCACCACTTGTGAGATTCCGCAAATGCAACCATTCTTCTATCTATATAGGTGCTAAATGAGATTTGTTATTGGGTATGTTCTCATTGTAAAAGGAAAATATCACAGGCTAGATGGCAGCAAGAAGCAAAGGCAAAAGAAGAACTTCTCCTACAGGCCAGTTCTATAAGAAAAGAAAGAGAACAAATTGAGGGGTCAGGAAAATCCAAGGAGGATATGATCAAATTGAAAGCAGAGAGGAATCTGCAAAGGTATAGGGATGATATTCATAAACTTGAAAAAGAAATTGCCCAGTTGAGATTAAAGACTGACTCATCGAAAATTGCTGCACTGAGGATGGACATGAAAAATGGCACTGCTCTGGCCGAACCCCGGACTTCATTTATCTCACAACTAGTCATTGACTACTCAGTGACAGGAGGTGTGAAACGGGAACGGGAATGTGTGATGTGCCTTTCCGAGGAGATGTCTGTTGTATTCCTCCCATGTGCCCATCAGGTTGTTTGCACAACATGCAATGAGCTCCACGAGAAACAGGGTATGCAAGATTGTCCTTCTTGCAGGAGCCCCATCCAGCAGCGTATTGCTGTTCGTTTTCCTCATACTTAATTTTTTTCTGGAGTGAGTTGAGTGTTTTGAATAATAATGTCTCAGGGACTAAGCATTCAAATCATGCATCTCGAGAGTTGAGATACATTAAGTTGCTTTCAATGCCAAGGTTGATTCTTCGTTGGTTTTTTTTCTTTTTCTTCTGCTGTTTGATGTTTTTAGAATTTCTTTTTTTGTTAAGGTGCGCTTATTAATGCCGAAGCAGTAACCAATTGGCCAAACAGAAAGAAAGAACACTTATCTTCCTTAGCTTGTTTGATAGTATAATGCTCAGCTCCTCATGATACCCCTCTTCCCTATTATTATGCTAGAAACAATCGAAGGGAGGTGATCAGACATGTTTTTATTTTTCTTTTCTAATATCTTCCTTTATTATTTGATCGGACACAAGTAGAAGCCGAATACGCAACTTATCATAGACATCAATCCTTATGAACACGATACAGATCCACACGAGGAAGAACATGAACATCAGTGATCACCCCACATGTGCCATTCAACATTTTTGACTAAATGGCCTTTATGATTCAAGCTACAATGATAAAATGTGGACTTCAAAATCAATATCCCCACCTTCCATGGAGTGTTTGACTAACGTGTAATAATTAAGCAGTACAATTACCTTTTTAATGAATATAATTTTATAAATTCATTAGTTTGTAGACTTTTTTATGCGTAAAAAACTACGAAAAGGAATACCAAAAAAAAAAAAAATCCGAAAAGGAATGCCATGTTATACTATTGATCATGAAATATAAAACATCAGTTATTTGTTGATTTTTTTTTTCATTTTGGTTAAATGTTATTATTATTCAATTTTGTGTGTGTGTGTGTCATTACTCATTTATACATAGATGGAGAGAAATTTAGCACAATGATAAACAAAAACATTTTTTTTTATGTTAATAAAAATATATGGAAGATAAGATTTCAAAATGATGGATGGCAATAGTTGTTTTTTATGTGTCTTTGGCCTTAGCCACGTGTCATCCTTTACTTGGATCCAAAGTATATTCCACTTGAGCCCCATGGGTCTCAACACTTTTCAGTCATCATCAATGATATCGTCGACCATAAAAAATGAAAGGGAAATTTTCAGCAGAATAATCTCTTACATAAAAATTAATTTTATCTCTTATATTTTTCACATATTCTATATAGTAGAGCCGGCAAAACGAGCTCGGCTCGACGAGCCAACCCACCCAACCTGTTCAACGGGACGGGGCGGATTGAGTTTTTCAACCCATCTCAAAAGCGGGGTGGGCTCATTTTTTGGCGGGTTGATGGCGGGCATAGGCGAGTCGAAGTGGGTCAATGTAAAATAAGCTCGGGCTGGCGGATCAACCCACCCAACGGGGCAGGGCGGATGAGTTTTTCAGCCCATTTTCAAAAGCGAAGCGGGGCAGGCTGACTCATTTTTTGGCGGATTGATGGTAGGCGGGGCGGGGCGGCTGTCCACTTTATCACCTCTACTCCGCCCCGCCCACTTTACCACTTCTACTATATAGTCTCACATATTTTTATATATGTGTAAAAAATAATTTTATATATCTTACTCAAAATAAAAAAAAATTCTTTGTAACATATTATATCTAAAACCAATTTTTATCGTATGTAAAAATATGGATAAATATAGGGGTTCGATTTCTGCTGTGTGTATAAATAATATTTTGTTTGTAAAGACAAAATTCACTTTAATAATCTTTATAATTTGAAAAAATTAGTCTTTAGCTATCGACTAAAAGATATTTTAAAAAAATTTAAAAAATAAATAAATAAATTAATTTTGGACATTAATGCTTTTCCTATAGCTGGAAAAAGGGTTTTTCTGCAGCATACACAATTTTTTTAGAATATGTTGGCAGATCTTGGTTTTTTTTTTTCTTGAAATGAGTAAATTCCATTTTTGTGTGTCTGCTGCAAAATTTTATTTTTGCGATAACAGCAGAGATAGTGCACCCTGAATTTTGATGGCACAATTAGTAAACTAATTGTATCCCAGCAATGGATTGAAGCTCAAAGGATTTTTATTTAATTATTAGACGAAATAATTTATAGTCGGTGACAAAAACCTTTGCATTCTATATTATAAAGGGAGTTAGTCTCATTTAATATAAATAAATAGATGTGACTGAAAATCTTTGGGGAAAAAAAAACGCAGAAGATAAGTTGGATAGCAATCTAGAAGATTCTTTGTTGCTGAGAATTATGAAGTGACACAACACAAAAGATGTATTCAGCCACATCTTATTCACCTTTTTATTATAAAAAAAAGGAAATTACATATCGGTATTTCATATAAAATATCTTTAATAATTTTCGTAGTTGTTTGCTTAAATATTTTTTGGATTTAACATCTCTCATGTTATAAGAGATAATTTTATTTTTTGTATATTTAAAAATATACGAGGTTCGTGTTTTATTGTTTTTTCTTTTCTTTTCATATGGCCCCATATAAGTTCTATATACTTTTATGTATGAGTAAGAAATAATTTTATTTCTTGAGAAACATTAATTCCATATTTCTTAATAAAGAAAAATTCGATGCACCTTTTATTTTCTCCTGGTTTTACTTTTAAATATTGGTCAGAAGGACATATTTTTATTTCCCTATTTCTCCTGGCACACTCTGTGGCGTTAATATTTTTCGAAGCACTAAAAATGGGCAAGAAAATAAATAAATAAATAAAAACTGATGAAAGGAAGACAGCCAGACCCCGGGACACGTTGTATGTTTTTTTTAACAAAGTTTCTAGTATATTAATTGAGAAAAATATGTGTAATTTTAAATGACACAAATTATGTCATTTCATAGAAAAAAAAAAAAAGACTTATACTCTCTTTTTTTGTCTTTATTTTTTTTATTCGAACATATATCTTTATGTGTATAAAATGATACAATTTATATAATTTAAAATAACACATACACTTTTTCCATATTAATTTGTGTGCCACGGACCCTTATCCTACGTAGACAAATGGTAAACTTGGTAGTTCAGAAAAGTACTGTGGCTTCCCCTCCTCTCATAATAAGCAAAGCCAAAGTTTATTTATGCAGACGACTTAGCTCCATAACCGTAATTTCGTCCACTCATTTCTCATCATACCCACTTCATATTTTCCTATTAAATTTTTTAAATATAATAAATTAAAACATAGAGAAATCAGGGAGAAAAAAAAAAAAACTGCCACTTCCCTTTAGAGAAGCTGCTCTGTATATTAACTATTAGGCTCCTCTTGTTATTTTCTATCTTCAGGTAACGTGAGTTTGATTTCATTTGCTGGCATATTTTATTGAATTGTCACCGTGCAGCTATATGACTAATTGACAATCTGTTGCTCCTACTTAGTTTCTGGTAACTCTTTTTTCTAAATTTCTTTTTTTGATCGATCAAGAAAGAAAATATGATTAGCTCAAAGTTACTATAATGCAGTGAATCCAGTTATGATTTGAGTTTTGCAGATAATACTATGAGGATAAAGAAAAAATGGTTATTGAGCATTTTGTTAGAATGTGCAGGGGTAATTTGAGCATGTTTCTGATCACATGAATATGAATATCTAATCTCTTATGCTGTTATTTTTGCTTTTATATGCTTTCTAATGGTAAATGAATCACACCACTTTCATGTTGTCTGCGTCAAAATTGCTTCACTCAATGAAGAATGTGCGGGAATAAGTTGGTGTTATTGTTTTGGTGTGCAGCGGCAACAGAAGGTATACTGAAAAAGCAGAACCAGAATTAGAATCAGATCAGAGATGTCTTCCATAGTGAAAGGCATACTCATAAGAACCACACCAGATGTCTGCAACAATAATAGACTTTTCAATGGAAACAAGTATTCAAAGCACAACGATCTTCTAGCAGTTGGGAGAAGAAGCACAAGACTGCAGTGGCAGGAGTTGCAGTTGCGCCTTATATCAAACTCAAACCGGTTCACAACATGGAAGGTTAGGAGATCATTTCAGCCTGCAATAAGAGGCCAAGCCATTCTAACCCCAGCAACACCACCCACCACCAAAAAGGTGCACACATTCATTGCCAAACACCCTTCCTTATCTTGCTTTTCAGTTTCTTGCCCAATTTTTATTTTTTAAGATATCAATATCCTTACAAACTAGAAAATAACAATTGGCAAAAGTCATTTACTTTTTGTGAGACTTACCTAAAGCAAGATTGACAGTTTTATCAGATTCCTTTGCTGTTTATAATTTCTTTACTGCTCAACACAAGAAAATATATGTCGATTTTTTGTATATTGTATTTACTTTTTTATGTTGTTTATAAAATATAAATGCATACAGAAAATTTAGATAAATTGGAACGATTACTCAATTGAGAGAATGTGAATCATAAGAAGGAATCACACTAGAACACTAAACATTAAATTAAAACGTGTAATCTTTTGAATCATAAGGTAAGAAACACTAAACGCACACAAAATAGTTAGATTTTGTGTTGAGTCTTAAATCATTGTACTGTACAAACAGACATAGGGATCAAATGCATTTTTGAGAATGAAAGGAAATATAGCATTGCTCTTCTAAGAATGAAGGTATATCTTTTGTTTAATTATACATTAAATTAAGTTTATGTCGAATTTCGACTATCATCTCACTTCATAAATTTCACCTTAACTATATAACAATTCGAGGTTAAACCACAGTCGGCCACTAAAATTTGAAAATTCTGAGAATTATATAATTCTTTCAGACAATATAACCATCTACTTACTTGTTATAGTACTATGTTCTAATGCGCTGCTACTTCCCCACAAATATTGTTGTATCTTTTAAAAGTTATCATAACAATTAAATATGATATTAACATTTTGAAATATGATTACTTCGTTCCTTAAATATGACACGAGCTTGTTTTTATAGCGAATATTTGTGCTTGCATGGCTAAACTTGGGTCATGAGATTTTCGTAAAAGCGTTAAATCTGTAATGTTGAGTTGTGGACAAGACACCCTAATTTGAGTTTCAAGCTTGTTCCGGTACCACAAAAATGTCCAGCGGACTATAAAATCTAATGTGAGGCCCAAAGTTTAATAAGGCTGAAGTTGGTCCGCGTCAACGAAGAATATTCAAGTGGACCCAAAAAAAAAAAAGAGAAAGAAAATTCTAAAAGAGATTTTCAACTTAAAATTCTACTTTTTTAATCAACTAGAAATCAAATAATAAAAAACTTCAATTATTATATTATACTTAAATCTAATAAATTATTTTGTTTATCAACTTGCTCTAAGCATTTCCTTTTTTTGGGGCCTTGTCAAAAGAGTTTACTGTGGTAGTTGTAATGTCATTTCAGTTAAAAGAATGAAAATATTTAAACTAAATATCATTTTCGGTGCTCATCAAATTTTTATGACGCCCATTTTAGTCCTTAGTAAATAAAGGGCCTATTCGTGGTCTCTAAGAAATTTAAAGTGGACTCATTTTAGTTCTTTCGAGGGACTAATGTGGGTTTTTTTTGAATTTGTGAAGAACTACAATTTCAATTAAATGGATCCATTTTGAATTTATTAGGAACACGAATAACCTTTTTATTTGCTAGGAATTAAAGCAGGCATCATGGAATTTGACGAGGATAAAAAATGATACAGTTTTTTGTCTTAGTAAATTTCACTATATCCGCTTTAGTCTCTAGCAAATAGAAAGAATATTCTTCGTCCTAATAAATTCAAAATGAATCCATTTAGTTGAAATCGTAGTCCCTCATGTAACACCCCGTTCTAGAACCGGTTTGTTAACATCGCATTATGATATTAAGCGCAGTTACAATCACATGGGTTCAATTAAAATCCGGATAAATTTTTCATTTTAAAACGTACCGAACGTATAATACCCATTTTCGTGATCATAACCATATTACTTTGCGGAATCAGATAAACCAAGCTTAACATCATGTTCTTATTCCATTTTTAAAACATTAATTTACTTCTTATTTATTTCCCAACTTCTACTATATTGTAGATCTCTTCGTTAGCTACGCGTGGTTTCAAACCGCTCCTCATTTGGAGCTCTGTAGCTCAAGTTATGACAATTTTACTAACTCAGGTGTATGCTGAAAAACTACGCGGGTAGGGCGCTTAAGCGCTCTCCAGGGCGCTTAAGCGCCCACAGACAGAGGGAATTTACATTATTTAGCCACCAAGGGCGCTTAAGCTCGCTCCAGGGCGCTTAAGCGCGCTACTTGGGCGCTTAAGCCCCCATTTTGGGCGCTAAAGCCCCAGGCGGCAGAAAGCTTTTGGTCTTCACAGGTGCATCAGGGCGCTTAAGCCCCCTGAGCAGGCTTAAGCCTCCATTTGCAGGCTTAAGCCCCCTCTTCTGGGCAATTTCCTATACTCATATTTTTCATGCATCTTTCTTGGGGAATCAATCCTACACATTTTACAACCTATTTAACAAGCTTGTGATATCCCTATATCATTGCTTAACTCTCATCCTCTCATCATTGATTTAACGGAAATTGGGCAGCATAATCTTTGTTTTTTCAACGTTTCCCAACTTAGCACAAGGTACCTAATTGACTTTCCAGCTCAACATATCCAATACATAAAAATACATTCATGCATTTAACTTACAGTAAGCATCATACACAAATATCTTCATTACTTACAATATTATATCATGTCTTAATTACAAATCTCATATACATGCCAAAGGACTTAGCTACAAAATGAACATGATCAAAGCAAGTAACCATGTATCAGATACCCATTACTACTACAATGATCATGCACTAAGTCCTCCAAAATACATCATGTGGCATCAAAATATACATATAGCAATGCTAAATGGCATGCAACTCAACATGTCCAGCTATCAGGTACAGTCTACTCACGCTTCTTGCCTCGATCAACCTCACCTCTATCAGTACCTGAAATGATGCCCCACAACACGGGGTGAGATATACGAATATATCACAGTAAACCAGAGGTCCTTGGAGATCACTCCACCCTAAGGTTCACTTTGATGTACACATAATCATAATAGCTTAACACATTCTTATCCACAAGCATCACATGGACTTCCAAGAGAGATCCACTATGGGCTGTTTCTCTTAGGCTCTTACCACATGGAGATCCACATAGGGCTGTTTCCAAGGGAAGTCCTTTCCTCAATCTATTCCAAGAGAGATCCTCAAAGGGCTGTTTCTCTTAGGGTCTTACCACATGGAGATCCACCTAGGGCTGTTTCCAAGGGAAGTTCTTTCCTCAATCTAGGAACCTCTAAGAGGGATCCACATAGGGCTGTTCCTCTTAGGCTCTAACCACATGGAGATCCACATAGGGCTGTTTCCAAGGGAAGTCCTTTCCTCAATCTAGGAACCTCCAAGAGGGATCCACATAGGGCTGTTCCTCTTAGGCTCTAACCACATGGAGATCCACATAGGGCTGTTTCCAAGGGAAGTTCCTACCAATCATCCTCATCATAATACTATCACTCATAACCTCAATCACAATCCTCAACCATTACCTCATTCATTATTGCTACTTCTATAATCATTCCTCAATTACTCTTAAACAATCAAACATCAACCAATAATCATCAATCAATCATAACATGTATCAATGCATGAATCAATGCATGAGCATACAATCACTATCATAATTACATATCACATCTCATAAACCATTTCTCCTCAACGGAGTATGGTGGAACACTCAATGGGATCAACCACAAGGTCCAAAGGTTTACCTTGCTCTTTGAGCTTTCCTCAATTGCACACAACCCCAAGGGTTGGTCACTCCACTTGGTCCTCTTGCCTCAATCCTATCAACACAAGGAATACAATCAAACAATGCTAACAATGCAAGGAAATCCATAGTTCCAAGCCTAGATTTCTCCAAACATCAAAGCATACTAAAATAACACTATAAACTCATTTCTACCGATTAAATGTCATTCCTAGCATTTTTCACAACATACTCTAAGCCTCATTCTTCCTTGAACATAGCCAATCTACTCAACATTTCATAAAAACCCTAAAACACTATTCATTAAACCCTAACCATGAAATTTTCCAAGAAAACAAGGTTCAAGGGTTAAAATCTTACCACCAATGGTCACACAACCAAGGATTGATGGCTCCTCAAGCTCCAATGGAGGTTGAAGCTCCCAAAACCCCAAATTCTCACAAAGGGGCGGAACTTTGAGAGGAAAAATCTCACAACACAACACTCCCCACTAAGAACCAAGCTTGGATTATGAAAGAGGGGAAGATTTAAAGTGATTTAGGCTTTTGAATCACCCAAAACGGTTAAGGTTTCCTCCCTCCTCTCTCTCTTCTTCTCTCTTCCTTTCTTCTTCTTCTTCTTCTGTGTGCTTCTCTCTCTGGCTCGACGGAAATGGGGTGGGAAATGGGGCTCTTTTGGTGTCTTAGTCACTTAACATAGGTTAAGTGACTTTAAGCGGGTATTGGTTCGTCTATCTATTCAACTCCATTAATTACCAAACTTTACCCAAAAGTCTGGAATATTTTTCTAGGAATGTTTCTAATTTTATTTTTATATTTTGGGTACTTTTGTCTACACCCATTTATACCCCTTAATTTTCACTGAGTACACTTTTTAACTCCAAGTGACTCAGATTCATTTAATTAAGCCTTATACTTAATTTTACTCACTAAAATATGCTTAATTATTTAATTAAAATTAATCAATTAAATGCTTAAGTTTGGGGTATTATACCTCACAAATTCAAAAAAAACTAACGTTAGTCCTTTCAGAAAGATTAAAATGGATCCACTTAATTTTGTAAAGAACACGAGTCCATTTTATTTGCAGAAGAATGAAAAAGGTATTTACACTTTATTTATTTATTTTGTGTGTGTGTGGTTGTGAACCTTCACTTCTCACATTCTTTAACGCCAGGTCTAAGAGTGGTGTCTAACCATGATTCATACAAGCATTTTCACTAACATTTTTATTTAGTTGAAATGAAAGTCTTCTCTGCTTTTTTTTTTAAACAGCGGGTATTCACTTTTGGCAAAGGTCGAAGTGAAGGAAACAAAGCCATGAAGTCTTTGGTAAGCAATCTTTATCTTTACCCAATAAGTTTTTTTTTAAAAAAATAAAATAAACTAACATGGAAACGCAAATTGATCTCTCTCAGTCATGTTCTTGTTCATTAGTAGTTTTATTGATACAACACTTACACATGTTATGTTAAGCAAAACAAGGTTGTCTGCTCTTCATGCAACGGCTACTTTTTCCCTTTGAACTGATGAAAAACTGCATGTGTTAATTATAGTTGGGAGGAAAGGGGGCCAACCTGGCAGAAATGGCAACCATTGGCTTATCTGTGCCTCCTGGACTCACTGTATCAACAGAAGCATGTCAAGAATATCAACAGAATGGGAAGAAGATACCAGATGACTTGTGGGAGGAGATACTTGAAGGCCTGCATTTTGTGGAGAATGAAATGGGGGCCTCTCTTGGGAATCCTTCAAAACCTCTCCTCCTTTCCGTGCGCTCTGGTGCTGCGGTACGAGACTTTTTGTATTTTGGTTTTGTTTTGTTTTTTTCTATGTCCTTGTTGAGTGCCTCAACCTAGGATCATTTTTGGAGTCACCTTTGGTAAGTAAGGTACATATAAAAGGCCTGCATGAAAATGGTAATAAGGTATATATAGGAAGAACAGGAATGCAATTGTTAAGTGAGAAAATTTTATGTATATGTAGAGAGGTAGAGGTCATGGTATACTATTTATTTATTTTGACATTGCCATTAGTTTCCAATGATGGAACAATCATACAAGAAAAATGTACTTCTATTGTAGCATTGATTCAGTTCAATTTAGGATTTCAATCCAAGGTTCTTAGCTGCGATGTTCTTGATTGAAATAATCCTATGGTTTATCCCAAAAAATAATAATAATAATTAGTAGTCTTTTCTTTTAATGTTCATAATAATATAAATTAAGCTGTAAGCTATAAAATTGATTTGTTCTGGTTGTTGAAATATTATACTGTATTTATAGGTGTACTTTGATTTAAATTTGATTCCTATTGTGGTGTATTTAACATGTTTATAGCATAAGCTTACCTGTCTCCTCCACATTTACAAGATTTCCATGCCTGGAATGATGGACACAGTTCTCAACCTTGGATTGAATGATGAAGTGGTTGCTGGTTTAGCTGCAAAAAGTGGAGAGCGGTTTGCTTATGATTCTTATAGACGTTTCTTAGACATGTTTGGAGGTGTTGTAAGTGGTTCTTTTACACCCCATGCATCAAATCTCTTTCTGCTTGCTTATTTTTGCTGGTTGGCAACATTTGTTCTAACTGTTCTTTTATGTTATATTGAGGTAATGGACATTCCACACTCATTGTTTGAGGAGAAGCTAGAAAAACTAAAGAATACGAAAGGCGTTAAACTTGACACTGATCTAACAGCCTCTGATCTCAAAGATTTGGTTGAGCAGTACAAGAATGTCTACCTTGAAGCTAAGGGAGAAAAGTTTCCCTCAGGTGCTGAATGCAACACCACCAACATCTTCACGTTTTGTTGTTATACATTCTCATCATCCTAGCCATTAATACATCCCCACTCTCTTTACTATATTATTTATAAGGAAATTTTTTTTTTTGCTCATCTTCCTTATTGATTTAACAATTGCAGATCCAAAGAAGCAGCTAGAGTTAGCTGTTAAAGCTGTTTTTAATTCTTGGGATAGCCCAAGGGCTATTAAGTATCGGAACATTAATCAGATAATTGGGCTAAAGGGAACTGCCGTAAACATTCAATCCATGGTGTTTGGTAACATGGGGAATACTTCAGGAACTGGTGTCTTGTTCACTAGAAATCCAAGCACAGGGGAAAAGAAGCTTTACGGGGAATTTTTGATTAATGCTCAGGTTACATGTGATTTAGTAGTTATTTTACTTTCATGCCATAATCATCTCTATAGTCTGCGGAGGTTAGAAACTACTCTTGGTGCTGATGTTTCTAAAAAGCGCTATGTTGTTTTTAATAGGGTGAGGATGTAGTTGCTGGAATCAGGACACCTGAAGATTTGGAGACCATGAAAACTTGCATGCCTGAAGCTTATGAGGAACTTGAGGAGAACTGTGAAATTCTAGAGAAACATTACAAGGATATGATGGTAAAATTTCAATCCTTGTAGATACTTTTCTTCTTTTATATTGTTTGTATAGATAGAGCGATAGATAATGCTTCTGAAATTGCTATTATATTGTAGGATATTGAGTTCACTGTTCAAGAAAATAGGTTATGGATGTTGCAATGTCGAAGTGGAAAACGCACTGGTAAAGGTGCAGTCAAAATAGCTGTAGATATGGTTAATGAGGGGCTTGTTGATATTCGTTCTGCAATCAAGATGGTAGAGCCACAGCATCTTGATCAGCTTCTCCACCCACAGGTATATACTTTGTTGTAATTACCATTTTCCATGCATGATGTGCCTTCAACTTCCTTTTATAAATAATGCATTCATCAAAACAACTTAAAGCATTAACTAACTTGCACAATTGTATTTGGAAGGATTAACAAAACTAACTCGAGCAAAGAATATAAAAGGCTAGTGATCATAACCATATACATTAAATAGCATTGTTTTGTTGTATGATTTTTATTTTCTTCAAGGTTGAAGTTGTTATATGTTTAATAGAAATGTAAATTTATTTCCATTTATATTTGTCTACTAAATAGATTCAAATGTAAGATGAGTAAGTGTTCTTGACTGCTTTAAGTTTATTTGGTTAGTTTGAGGATCCATCTACTTACAAGGACAAAGTGATTGCCAATGGCTTGCCTGCATCCCCTGGAGCTGCAGTAGGGCAGATTGTGTTCACTGCTGATGATGCTGAAGAATGGCATGCACAAGGAAAGAGTGCCATCTTGGTATTCCTTTTTATTATTAAGCAATCATTTTTCTTATCTCTTCCTTTTTCCCCCTTCTTGATGTAAGCCTAAATCTGGCCTGCCTTAGGTGAAATGCTTATTTGTACAAGACTAGAGTTTTTATGATTATGAAGTATATACTGTCCGCTCATTAGTTTCATGGTTTGGTTGAACAAATCATTCATGAGCAATCATTAAATGCTAATCCACTCATGCATTGTTGAAGGTGAGGACAGAGACAAGTCCAGAGGACGTTGGGGGTATGCATGCAGCTGCTGGAATCTTGACAGCAAGAGGTGGTATGACATCTCATGCTGCTGTTGTGGCCCGTGGATGGGGAAAGTGTTGTGTGTCTGGCTGTTCTGATATCCTTGTAAATGACAATGAGAAGGTAAACTAGGATTTTCCATTTATGTAGCAGCATAGTAGTAAAAAGATCATCATGTTGTCAGTGATTTGGTAAATCTCAATTGATAATGTAGGTGGTTGTAATTGGAGATAGGGTGATAATGGAAGGAGAATGGATCTCACTGAATGGATCCACGGGTGAGGTGATACTGGGAAAGCAGCCACTTTCTCCTCCGGCTCTAAGTGATGATTTAGAAACTTTCATGTCTTGGGCTGATGAAATAAGGCATCTGAAGGTACTGCATATTCTTCATCTGCCGCAGAAGTTGAGTAGAATCAGAACATCTAGTTATTGTTTCCTAGAAATTCTCTCATATTGCTGTTGTCTGTCAGGTTATGGCGAATGCTGACACACCTGAAGATGCAATAACAGCTAGAAAAAATGGTGCCCAAGGGATTGGGCTTTGCAGGACAGAGCACATGGTACAAATAAATATTCAATTCCTTGTTATATGACTGAATGAAAAGTGTGAATACATTATTCTTTTCATACCTATATCTAATATTTTAATTTCCTCAAAATCGGTTGAGTTGTAATTTTACTATAACAAATTTACCGTTGTTCTCCTTTAAAGAAAATGCACTCATGCTGAGCGTAAGAAAAAAAATATCATCCTTATATGCTAAAAATTGAATTAATGGATTTTTTTCCCTTCCTTTTCCAAGTAATCCAAAAGTAAGATCCTTTATCTACAAAAAAAAAAAAGTAAGATCCTGTCTAAGACCTTTAATTTTTTTGCTAGTTTGACACAATAGTGAATGGTATGAGCATGCATAAGCACACACTTGCAATCATGTGCATGACACTTGAAATGAGTATTTTTATTAATTGTCAAAGAGTAGTTACAAATTATAGGAAATAGATCCTCTCATGTCTTGTTCACAGGTCATGTGGAAGATCTTAATTATTCATTCAAAATTCAATGGTTAGAAAATGAGAAAGTGAAAATTATCACTTTAATTGCTCACAGTTGATATGTGAATGAATGACTAAGATCTTCCACGTGACATGATCATATGGAACTAAGACATGAAAGGATGCATTCCCCAAATTATATTGTTTCTTACATGTTTTGGTGTGTTGTAGTTTTTTGCTTCAGACGAGAGGATAAAGGCTGTGAGAATGATGATAATGGCCATTACAACGGAACAAAGAAAAGCTGCATTGGACCTGTTGCTACCTTATCAAAGATCAGATTTTGAGGGGATCTTTCGTGCAATGGATGGTCTCCCAGTTACAATTCGATTGTTAGATCCTCCACTTCATGAATTTCTTCCAGAAGGGGACCTGGAGCAAATTGTCAGTGAGCTAACTTCCGAGATAGGAATGAAAGAAGAAGAAATCTTTTCTAGGATAGAAAAGCTATCAGAAGTGAATCCCATGCTTGGTTTTCGAGGCTGCAGGTTTGTCCCCTTCTTATGATGCTTGTATATACTAATGATTAGTGTTGAAATCAGCAAGTTCATGTTTGGGTGCATACATACATAAAATGTATAATTAATTACACACACACACACACCAAAAATGAAGTAACATGGCCCATAATTAATTTATGGATTGATTAACAGTCCCTCTTATTTGACAATTTAAATTCTGTGAACAGGCTGGGGATATCATACCCAGAACTGACGGAGATGCAGGCCCGTGCAGTCTTTCAGGCTGCTGTTTCAGTGAGTAACCATGGCATTACAGTTCTTCCAGAGATAATGGTTCCACTTATTGGTACACCTCAGGCATGGCCCTTTTTCTTAATTGTTTCTTCACTCCTTGTTTGTCCTTCAATTTGCTTCAAAGTATCATTATGAGGAAAATCTCATCACCATGTTATACTTTGAAACACTGCATTATATTTCCTTTTTCCTCAACAATATGTCCCTTCAGTTTTGGGTTCTGATCTTGATGAAGCCCTTGTAACGTAATTATTATATGATATAAGCCCGGATTTTTTTATTAGCAGGAATTAAGGCATCAAGTGAATTTAATAAGGAATGTTGCCGAGAAAGTATTCTCTGAGATGGGTTCCTCTTTAAGATACAAGGTCGGAACTATGATTGAAGTTCCGAGAGCTGCGTTAGTTGCAGACGAGGTAAAACTTATATCCTTATGTCTTGAAGAATAGCACTTAGACTTTAACACATAATGTTTAAAAGTGTGATAAGGAAAAAAAAGAGAGTCTTATCTCCCATTTAGCTCAGGCTTTAATAAACTTGAAAACTAGAGTGCATTTTCATCCGTAGCACAACAGCTAATAGGATCATTTTGTTCTCTTCTGGTTATTTACACTTCCTAAAGTTATTATTCATTCATACAGATTGCAAAGGAAGCAGAGTTCTTTTCATTTGGAACCAATGACCTTACCCAAATGACATTTGGATACAGTAGAGACGATGTAGGCAAGTTTCTTCCTATATACTTATCCACTGGGATTCTGCAGAGTGATCCATTCGAGGTTAGTTGGCTAACGTTCGTTTGCTTATTATATGAAGGATGATTGCTGAATTTGAATTGTTGAGAATAATTACAGGTACTTGACCAAAAAGGTGTGGGTCAACTCATCAAGATTTGTACAGAAAAGGGTCGTGCTGCTAGACCAAACTTAAAGGTAGGAGTAACTTACCAATAGAAATTTGAACCAACAAAATTTTATTACACATCTTAGCTATTCATTATACCCCATCGAGGTGCTTTTGCACTTAATTTATTAAGTTGATTATCAGGTTGGAATATGTGGAGAGCATGGTGGGGAGCCTTCTTCTGTTGCATTCTTTGCCCAAATTGGACTTGACTATGTTTCATGTTCTCCTTTTAGGTCAGATTTTCAGTTCTTCATTACATGAAAATGAGATATTTGTATTTTCAACTGTCGAACTGAGGGTCTGAGGACTCTTTTGCAGGGTTCCAATCGCTAGGCTTGCAGCAGCTCAAGTTGCAGTTTAAGAAACAATATTATCTGATGATGATATATGAGAGGGTCAACTGCCTCCTGTCCAGGGCATGACTCTCTACAACTGTAAATAATTGGGCTTATAAGCCCATACGCATAAAAAAAAAAAATGGAGGTTTATATGAGGAGATCCGATGAAGGAAGGCTACTAACATATTTATAGAACTGAAAGCAAAGGGAAATTAATAAGGAAATCTTTGCAAATAAAAATAAAAAAAGAGAGAAAACATTGTGTACAAAAATTCATACAATGTTTCTCTTATATTTTGATTGCATAATGTGTCTTCAACTCATGTATTTGTTGTATGAGACATTAGTGTTGACATATAGGTATAGCTTGTCATAAAATAATTGTGTAAAATTCTTGTACATGTTCTATTCTATCACTAATAAAATCTTCGAAAATTTATTCTGTGTATCATCATCATCTTTCCCTTATTTCATCATGTTATCCGAGCATATGTCACTTTCTTTTTTGGCGAAGAGCATATGTCACTTTCATTTGAAATGTAAGTTTGTTGATATTGGGGAAAAAATTAATATATTATTATTTAAATAAAAAATTGTGAATACATAGCATTTCGTAATTAATTTACGGATCTATTGCTGTATTGCACTTAGTTAAAGAAGGAAAGAAACTCAAAAAAAAAAAAAAAAATGAACCTAGAAAGTCCAATTCCAATTGTCCAACTTCAAATAAAGGACCAAAATGACAGAATGGAACCTTTTATATAATTTTTCATTTCCAAACATTTTGTAAACAACATTTCTTTCATTTTTTAATCTATTTTCAATGTTATAGTTTATTAGATAAGAATTAAAAAACTATTGTATAAACCAGGTTTATTTTCAATATTGGACTGGTCCTGAATTGCTCTCATGATCTCATTGTAATTTACTTTTCTCGTATCGATTTTAGTTTTGTTGAAGGTGAAATCAACGCAACTTGAAGATTAGGCCAATTCCTCGATATTGTAATAAAATGAATAAAAGAAAACTAAAACTAAAACTAATTATATTTTTAATAAATATTTCTGAAAAAAATATATTGACATAAAGATATATTTTCGCTTGGCATATTATAATAGTTTAAGTGAACAAGTATTATAATTTATACTTAATTCTTAAAAAAATTATAAATCTTACAATATTTTGTAAATATTGGGTGGGCACGTCGATAACATATCAAATGTAATGGCCCAAACCAATGAAATTTGGGCCGGACTGGAGGTCGAGTTGGGCTTATATAATAATATCAATTTTCAGCGCTGCATTCTCCTCTGTACCGTTTTATTTTGGAGCTCCGAGTCCGAACCCTCCTCGACGCCATAGCCATAGCCATCGTTATTGGCACTTTCTCTTCTCTTATTCGATTCCAGTTCAGTCCGAATAATAGTTGAAAATGGGGTTGGAGAGCTACGTGGTGGTGCACAACATAGCAAAAAGGCACAACGTTGGAACACTTGCTCGAAGTGCAACGGCCTTCGGTGTATCCGAGCTCATCCTCGTTGGCCGTAGAGATTTCAACTCTTTCGGTAACCATGGATCCTCCTCCCACCTCCGCTTTCGACACTTTCATTCCCTCCAAGACGCTCGTCACTTTCTGAAGGACAAAGACTGTGATATTTGTGGAGTTGAAATCACTCACAATGCCATCCCTGTCAATCACCATCCTTTCAATAAAAGCACCGCTTTCCTACTCGGCAACGAGGTTTTTATATTCTCAATTCTCAGTCTTTAGTGTTTTTTTTAGAGTTCTATTTTGTGATTTCTCCCAAACTTTCTCTCTAGGGTACTGGCCTTTCTGCTAAGGAATGTGAGATATGTGACTTTTTCGTTTATATCCCTCAATATGGCTGTGGCACTGCTTCTTTGAATGTTACTGTTGCTGCTTCCATTGTATTGCACCATTTTGGAGGTATTCTATTTCTATTCATGAATTTCGAATACTGCTGTTTACGTAAATTCTAATGTACCATTTAGGGTTAATTGATTTCATATATTCCACCTCAATCCCAAACCTTTTATGCTAACTTGCAGAATGTGTTTGTTTTACTTTTCCTTTGTATCTCTCTAGTTTCTAGCATTATGTATGGCCTGTGTTCTAGTTTTTTTTTGTGTAATTAAATAAGTAGGTTAGTCCTCATCCATAACTGATTTGCTTTGTTCTTAACTTTGAAAACTATTGTGGATTGTATTCTCTGAAGGAAATCTGCATATTTATATTCCTTTGAGCGATTGTTAAGTTTCCTATAGTGATGTTGATGGGTGGAAAAAATAGGGAGTTGCTAGTAAACGAGAAGCCAGAGTTTTTACCTATCAGATCAATAACATTTCTTGAGATGTGTGTGTTAAATTAACATTAAGGGTCGGTCTGGTGTGGGATTAAAAATGGGGTGAAGAATTCATTGGTGTAAGTCCTGATAACTCTCTTAAGAAATGACTGCTTCATCGTACATCCTGTGTGGATTTGGGTTCCCTTTGTTGGGTATGTACCCATTTTTCATTCACCTTTTAAGCTTTTGGAAAAATTATATTCCTTCATTTTTATGGAAGGTTCATTTCAACTATAAACATTTGCTTCTGACAAAGAAATATATAACCTTTTCATCCATACAGCAGGGCAATCAAGTAAATTATCCCAACTGCGTCTTGTTACTTATCCCATCTATCTAGCTCGTATTTAGTATGATATTAATTCCAATTGCTTTTGATGTATTTCAAATACTACTGTAGTTTCTGAACCATTTTTTTGGTCAGTCTGGGCAGGTTTTACAGAGAGATCTCGTGATGGAAATAAATTTGTTGTGGCTGAGAGACCTGTAAAACAGGCTAGACGAAATTATTGCACCGAAGCAGAAGATTCAATCATTGAAGAGCGTAAAGCTAGAAAAGAAAATGCTGCCAATGGTTTCTTTGATGAGACCGAGAGTGGCAATTCATCTTCAAACCTCCTTGACGAATTATTTGTTGATGGTTGATGGTTGATGGAAGGTGTGTGATTAATTGGGGGCTTTGATCAATTAATCATTGAGATTATAAGTTGAGGGCTTGAGTGCTTCAGTTGCGGCAAAAGAGAACCGGCATCTTACCTTAGCTGACGTGGATCGGAGAAAACTTGATATACGTAGCTTGACAAAAAGTGCCATTAGCTGGGAAGGTTTCTACCGTCATTAGGTGTGTATGTTGTAATTTATGGTGTGAGTTTGCTGCAATTGCCACCAGTGACAGGACATAGTTTGAAGTTGTTAAAACCTGTTTTGCTCGGTTTAATTACTCTTGTAACAAGGATCCTGACATTTGTTTTACTGATGATTATTAATTAAAGCAGCGTAAATGATATATTCGTCCTCTTTTCATATTTATATTACTGTCATTCACCTTTCTCTTCCTGCGTTGTTGACTGTCTTGTTTCTGTGAAAATGATCTGTTATACTCGCAGTGGGAAAGAGCAACTAAATGATAGCTTTGTATAATACATCCCAGGAACCAGGATTTCAGTTCAAAAATTACTACTGTTGGGATAGAAGACTAGCAAAATTACAAAAACCAAATAATCTAGACACCTAATCAGAGGTGATCTACTGAAAAAAAACTTGGTTACATTGCAGCCGAAATATACGATCAATTTATTAATTCTAAACATTTACTATCGCTTGACAAATGTAGTATAAAAACGAAAGAGTACGAAGATGGCTACTTTGGCCTTCTGCCCTCACCAAAAAAAATTCTGTGATTCTTTTCCAATTGAAACAAAGATGGGTAATCCTTCTTACTTTGACATAAGAAAAGATGGCAATTCTCACTTGTCCAACCGGTAAGGCTTCTGACAGGTAGATGGTTGTTCCACCTGCAACGAGTCAATGATTTCTTAAGCCTTGTATTTATAGTATGCGAATGAGTTGCTTTAGGGCATGTTTGGTATCCTTTATAGGATAAGGCATGATAATACAAAGTCTGATTAAATTTTAATATCATCTAGTATTTTGCAAGATATTGTATAAGATAATATCCTCTAATATTTGGTAATACACCGTATAATATTAGATAAGATAAAAATAAATATTTTTGACAAAAATACCTTTTAATAATGAATTTATATAACTCTTGCAAATATATCAAACGATATTAATTTTTATAGAAATCTATTGATCAATATGTCCAAAATATATTGATTTTTATAAAAATAAAAATCTCCAATATTTTAAAAAATTATATATTCAAATATTATTTTTTATTTTAATATATTAATATTAAATAATATATTAATTTTTGAAAATTACATTGATTAATACATCAATTCCTTATCAGGCCTAATCATACTCTCATAGGCTTGATTAAGTTATACATCATTTTGATGTATAAAGGGCTCCTACTGTATAAACTTATACTATACGATGGTCACACCAAACAATTAAAAATGTCATAACATATAGTATAAGCTTATACAATCAGGCATTGTACATCACACACGCTCATAGTGGGTTGGTAACGGATAGATCCTTATATAGCTGGAATAGATGTCCCAGGTAAACTAGAGCGCATAGTGTTTAACAACAAACTCCGAAATGCTGTTGGTGAGAATTGAGAAACAGAACAAGTTGAAGTAGGCAACTCATTCAACTTACTCATTAGTGAATACTGAGATTATCATATTCAGATACATACATTGACGAGACAGGAGTTCAAAGGCATCCGGAATCGACATATGTTGGCTTTCAACAAATCCTATTGCAACGACCCGAATCACAAAATTAAAACAAATGGAGTCGCCACTAATTTTATTCACTTTAGAAAATTTGAAAACCCTTTTATTATAATCTAGTCTTTAAAATTATAGATCAAAGGTTTGGGAGTCTAATTATGCGCAGGGAAGGGTGGAAACTTAATCTCACTGCAACCTTGACACATCCGTTACAAAAAACGGTTAACTTAAATTAATTGTGTGAATTATAAATAACTTATAAAAATATTTGCTTTATCCCTTAAAATAAATATAATTATTTAAGAAGAAAAGAAATAATTTATAAACTTTATCTTAGCTTGACAGAAAAAAAGTTCCGCTCCGACGTATCTTCCGGTGTAGTGAAGAATTCAAAGCTACGTTGTTCTTTAGAAATATTTGTGTGTTTGATTGATTTTTTTAATTTTTTTTAACAAATAATGAATATTTCATTTAGAAGTTTTAGATTTGAAGGTTTCAGATTACGAAGTTTTCACAACTAAGATAACCTGAGATGATAATTGCAACATTAACAAGCTGTCACAACTCAGTTAATCTCTTTTAAAATAAAAGAAAAAAAATTAAAAAGAAAAAAAAAACTTTAAATAACCCTAGAGGTAAAACAAACTGAAGTTTAATATATTTAATTTAAGTTTGGGTTATAAAGTTGTAACAACTAAAATGACCTAAAAAGCTAGGAGATTAACAAGGCGTCACGCCCAAATTAATCTCCAATATAATTTCTAAGCTATATAAGAAAACTTCAAATAAAACAAGAAAAGCATTAGTTTTTTTTTGGAAACATTCTATCGGTTCATCGCTTCACGACTAGGAGATTAACAAGGCGTCACGCCCAAATTAATCCCCAATATAATTTCTAAGCTATATAAGAAAACTTCAAATAAAACAAGAAAACCCAAATTAATCCCCAATATAATTTCTAAGCTATATAAGAAAACTTCAAATAAAACAAGAAAAGCATTAGTTTTTTTTTGGAAACATTTCAGTTCATCGCTTCGCGACTAGTCCGATTCGGGGCGGGTCTAGGATTAAGGCTTTAAACCCCTCCCAGAGATGGCACTGGAGAGGTTCGAACACATGCTCTCACCTCCACCTGCTCAGCTCTCATGCGCAATCTGAGCTACCACCATTTGGTAGCATAACTTAGTTTTAAACCAATATAAAAGCATACAAAAAAAATTTATTAACTAAAGGAGGACGTAAGTGGACTTGGTGTATTGAGTCAAGTTATGAAAAATCACCCCAAATTTCCTAAAAAGGAAAAAAGTAGAGAAAATTAGTAACTAAAAATTTTATTATGACACTAACTTAGTTTTAAACCAAGCTCAAGTGTCTTGTATTTTGTGTTTTTTATTTAATTCCCTCCAAGAGTGTGTATGAAGAAAGGCGAAGAGGCTCTTTATATAGAGGGAAGGGAGGAGGAAGGAATGAGAAATGGGTAATGTGGAACTTCTTAGGAAAATTTATTTTTTTTCAATTTGGACAACCATTTTGCGACAACCATATCTCACACCAGAGGGCTTAGCATGAAAATCGGTCTAATCATATTGAAGTATCATATGGGAGGAACATGCCGACCAAATTTGAGGAAGATCAGTCGGTTTATTTGAGAGAAATAATCCTTGCAATATGGCTGCCCGAAATTGCATCTATTCTAACAAAACTAACAACCCATCTTTCAAATTTTATATCTGATTCTATGAGGATCAGTTCAAAAATCGGTGCGGTTAGATTGTAGTATTACATGAGAGGAACACGCTGACAAAATTTGAGGACAATCCAACGATTCATTTGGGAGAAATGACCCTCACAAAATCGCTGCTCGTTGTAGAAACGTTCAGGAAAACTGTTTCAGTTTTGAATTTTCTAGGAATGATATAGACGTCGAATCAAGAAATCTATCGGTCGATATGAAGGACAATGAGTCAAGATCTTGCAAAAAAAAATTTCAGCTTGATCTGATGGTGGATGAAGGAGTTATCACGACTGGAACAAGTCATACTCAAAGCTGTTATTTTTTTGAAATGGTCCCCCTTCCCTTTTCCATTTATTTGATTGCTCACTTCCTTTTTTCCTTATTGAAGGACAAAAATATGTGTTCATAACTTAATTTTCTTTTCTTTTCTTTTCATTTTATATTTTTTTGTATTTTTTGTCAATTTTAAAATATTTGGGACAAAATTGTGTATTCACACCCATCATATTAAACAATAAATTCTTATATACAAGATAACATATGCGCTTAGTAAAAATCATACAGATAACACGATGCAAATGATTGAATTCTACATCTATCTTCTCCTTGTCTCTGTAACAAATTGAATACTTGAAATCTCAGCAAAACCTTGTAGCTTGGACCACATTGAGTAACATGGCCACAATATTAGATAATTATGTGGAGAATGTACTAGCCCCACATTGAGTAACTATGATTGACCCTGACATGAAATGCAATATAAAATCACAAGAGCCTTGTCAAGCGAAAAACACGCAGCCATGTGGTGAGCGAAAAACTAACTATTCTTTTACCTTTTACTAAGGAATACTGTAGTGGTTCAGACCATAAAAAGTGGGTAATCTTCATGGATCTTCATGGGAAAATGTGGGTTCTTTTGAGATTTCTTTTTCCATACTTCTCCACGGGGATTACCCACTTTTTGTGGTCTTGGACCACTCAAATTGAGTGTCAATTCTTTTTGTTTCCTTTTAAGTGGTTTTTGTTGCAAGTTAATGTTGTTGCCAATGATTTAAGGGTCCTTGTAGAAGTGTCAAAATGGGTTAAAGCTCGCGGGTTAGCCCACAAAGCATTATATTTGACCCTAACTCATTCGGGCTTTTTTTGTGGTAGGGCCTGTTTTACCCTAACCCTCAAAGCCCTATAATTTAGCGGGCTGGGTTAGGGCTGACCCACGGGTCAAAATTTTTCTTTAATCAAAATTTTCATTATTTAAAAAACTAAAAATTATATAAATTTAAATATTTATAAATATAAATAAAAATTATTGTGAATTTGATGAAAAATATAAGAGAAAGTGAAACATGATAGAAAGGAAAATGAAGTGTAGAAAAAAAGAATAAAATAAGAATAAGTATAAGCAAAGAGTCCTATATAAGGACCTATCTTACATGTATTTTTAAACATGGAAGTCATGAAAAAACAAAGAGTCACATGTTATGAACCATGTAAAAGGTTATTCATAATTCATGTGAAAGATCATCCATAATCAATGTGAAAGGTCATCTATAATATTTTACAATACTCCTCTGGATGTATTCTACAATTCAACACACCATTAGTGTGATAATTATACAATATACCAAAGGTCATGAAAAACAAAAGAGTCACATGTTACGAACTATGTGAAAGTTCATCCATAATATTTTATAACAAAAATTAATTTTTTAATAGTGCTATATTTTAACAGAGATTTTCATCTGCGCATCAATAAAAATAAAATTTTCTATTGACATCTAAGCATGTTATACTTTTACCATATATAGAACTCTATATCAAACATGTCATCAACTATCAAAGGCTCTCCACTGTAATATGCATCCCTTGCC